ACTGTCACAAAGCCCTTCTAACCAGCTTAGTGAAACCTTGCCACAGAGCTGACTCGCCCTCAATCTCTGACCTGCTCCCATCTGGAAGGCTCTCACAGCTCTGAAAACTGCTGGGTCTGCACATCCCTCCAGCACCCCTCACTCTCCTTTAAAATCTTGCCAGTAATTTGAAACTCTGAACGGACCCTGCTATTGTTCTATTGCTCTCTGGTTTTACTTTGGTTCTTGTGAACTATGCTTATCTTGTAGGACAGCTAATTAAAGCAGCCAGCTGAAGTCCCTGTGAGGACTCAAATTGAGTAAGGTAAGATTGACAAAGTGCAGCTGGTGCCTGCAGTCATCACATCAGGGACTGTGGGCCGTGCCCACTTCCCACTCTCCTCTGAGCTTAACGAGCCCTGTTTGCACACTGCCTGCAGTCTCTCACTCCCACCACTTTCACGGGAATTTGATGAAGGATTTTGCTCCCATGTTGTTGAATTCCCAGCCTCTATCTTTTTACATCCAGTTAATCTCAATCTGTTAGCCAAACACCTTTCTTCATAGCCTGTTCCTCTCTGACACCTTTCCACCGCAGGGGGTCGGACACAAGCTGTGCCTGCACAGGCAGTGAAGGGGGTTGTGCAAAGACCTCAGTGAGAGAAGATGCAGTGCCCAGAGAACCAAGGGGATTTGAGGACCACTCTGGCACCCATGGGAAGCCTCTGCCCCCCCTGGGATACAGAGCAAGAACACTCACCACCAGGACGTGCTCCAGCAGCTCCAGATAGCCATCAGCACACTCTTTGCCAAAGCGCAGCGCCCGCTGCCGCACATCCCCGCTCACTTCTGGGTGGTAGGCAGCTTCCTGAAACCCAGAGACAGGGAAACCCGGATTCACACCCAGCACCATGCCTGCTGGCACCCACAGCCACCCACAAATCCGTGCTAGATCCACGTGCCCTGCCCGCCCCACCTTGCAGGCACGCAGCATATCCGCGATGGCGCGGCGGCTCAGGTTGGCCGTGGCGATGACATCCTCCTGCCGACACGAGTTCCCAGCGGCCACCGCTTTGGCCGTGGCCATTGTGATGCCTTTCGTCATACGAATGAAGTCCTCTGGGGTGGAGACCTTGGCAGGAGGCACTGGGGAGGAGAAGACCTGCGGGGCGAGAGGTGGCGGTGAGGCCGTGCAGCGGCGAGCGGGGCGGCAGCGGCGGCACCGTGGCTGCACTTACTGCCAGCTCTTGGCGTATGTGCTCTATTGTGGCCTCTAGCGCCCGCGTCCCCTTCGTGGCCTCGTCCTCCACGGCCTTCACTGTCTTCAGCAAGGATGTGACATTTGTCACCATCACCTGTGGAAGGGACAAGAGAGACAGGTGAGGCTCCACCCAAGTTCTGGGCTGCTGCTGGAACCTGCCCCCCTCCTGTGGTTTGGCACAAAATGGCCCTGTCCCCATGCTCCACTCACACCTCCTCATCTTGTTCTCCCTCTTCCTTCTCTGCATGTTGTGCTCCACCTTTTATGTGCCCTTTCCTCAACCCCCTTACTCTGACTGCCCCGCAGTTGTCCTCTTGCCCCTAGACAGGCAGAGAAGCCAACCTGTTCTTTCTCCAGCCACCCCTGCCCCATCCATTCCGTCCCATTGCACCCAGCTCAGACCTTTGCAGAGTTCTTCAGCTGGTAGACAGCAGGATCATCCCCAGCTTTGCCAGCGGCTGCTTTGGTGGCACCTATCAGATCCCCAAGTGCCTTGGCCACATCTTTCACAGCATTGATCAGGACCACCTGGGGAGAGCAAAACCAGAACAATGGCTTGGCTACAGCCATGTGGCCCAGCAATAGGAAATCTGGGCACCCCAGGCCACACAAGTCTACATGTATACACAGCACAGCCATAAGAAGCCAAAGCCCTGCTAGCCCTCTCCATGACATGCGGAGTCCAGCCCAGAGCACCGCACAACACCTTCAACCTCAGCTCCTCCAAGCAAGCTACGAGCCAGCTCTGTTCACCCCACACCTCCCAACCCACCTGAGTCTCCGGGTCTTCAGATCCCAGGCTGGCGGCACCCAGTTTCACCACTTCTGCCAGGCGGGTGATGGTGGACACCGAGGACTGGGCAGCCTGAGCCAGCTTCTCCTGGCTGGCTGTGGCGTTCTGCACCAGCACCTTGGTGTCCTCCACCAGTGCCTTGGCTGTCTTCAAGATACCCTCCCTGGGAAGAAGAAGGGAGTCAGAGAGGACCCATGCCTCTGCACACACACACGATCCCTGGGGTGTAGAGAGACTGTGGACCATGTTTTCCATATGTACAAGATGGAGGTGAAACAGAGTCCGCATGACCTGAACTTGCAGCTCTCCTTGCAAGCTGGTCTGCAGCTCAGAAAGACAGGAGACCATGGGACACAGACCGAGCCCCCATCCCTGGTTGAGCAGAACCACCCCCCCTGGTTCTGGACAAGGTGCCCAGTTACCTGTGGTCAGCAAAGGTCTCCGAGTTCTCCCGGTTGAGGGTTCCTGCTGTAGCAAACATGATGGTGGTGTCGAGGTCAGCAATGATGCCAGAGACAGCACTGGCTGCTGTGATGCAGGCTTGTGTCCCACGGTTCCCAGCCTGCAGGGCTGCCAGCACGTGAGACACCTGCGGGGTACAAGTGAGGTGACTGGAGAGCAAAGCAGGTTCAGGCAACCCTCACTGCACACATCATCTGACACCTCCCAGCATGGAGCCGCTTTACAGCAAGGAGAGGAACCTGGAATTGTGCGGTCTGGACACCCCTTCTTAGCTTCTATTTAGTTATTTTTACCCTGTAACTATTGTGTTTGGGAGGCTAGCAGACACTGGACAATGCCAGTTTCCAAATGAATAAGCACTGCATGATGGGCATCAGAACATTTCAGCTCTTGTCTTTAGCTGCTAAACTCACCTTCTGTACTTCAACAAGCACTCATAGGAGAATAAGTTTCCTATGGGAAGAAAGGATCTGCAGGAGGCCCAGAGTGTGCAGGCATGTGCCAAACACCACGAACAATGTTTTGCTTTTGTTTCTCCTCAATCCAACAGCCCACCCATCTTGCCATGCTGTTGCCTCTCTCCAGGCTCTCACCTTCTCAGAAACCTTGCGTGCACTCTCTATCAGCTCCTTCTTGGTGTAGACATCACTGGGGCTGCACTGCAGGGCTCCAGCCTTGGTGACCAGGGCAGCACAGCCGTGACCCAGCTCCTGCACCCGGCGTTTGATGTTGGAGCCGATCTGGAGCG